GTCCCCATACTGCCAACAAGACAAATGAGATGCTGTGAAATTTCAAGTGGGAAGTCCTCGAACATCGTCCATATAGCCCCAACCTTGCTCCAAGCGACTTCCATTTGTTCGGCCCTCTTAAACATCATGTTTTGGCTGAATATTTTCCTGACAATGAAGCTGTAGAAAGGGAAGTCACCACCTGGTTCTGACAGCAGCCCAAATAAATTTATGCTGCTGGTTTTCAGGGGCTTGTGAAATGATGGGACAAGTGCCTCAATGTACAGGGAGATTATGTTGAGAAATAAAAGCATTTTTCAAATCAGTACTCTTATTTGTTTAAGTTCTATATCCATTTGTAACTTACTTATTGACTTACCCTCATACTTCACTTGTAACAGATTTTCATGACATCTTTTAATTAGCTTGATATCCTGAATCTTATGTTGAGAAATAATATGGTGTATGAGAGATTCCTTGAGCTTCAAGGCATGCACTGGGAGAACCATATTAAGACCTTGTGATTGAGACCGAGATTGCTCATTATCCTATGCATATATATATATATATATATATACAGAATGCCTGTGAAGGTGTCAAGACAGGACAAATTCCACAGATGTATGTGTGACATACTCTTGTGAAGGATAATTACAGCCACTTAGTGGGGCCTTTTCTGTCCTTTACACATTATCTTCACTTTCCAATCTCTCTGAATCAGTCAAAGATACATTATGTTTAATTATATCTGTTTATTAGATGCTAGATCAGTATAAATTGGAGTATGCAACATACCTAGAGTCACTGCCAGAGGATAAGCGACAGGAAGAACTGCAAAATAATCAACCTAAACGCAAACCAGCCAAATCCAAGGCAGTTTCATACCAGTCAACCACCAAGAGCAGTAAGGTAAATGTAAATAAGTAATGCCCCTTTCTTAAGGAATCTTATTAATAAATCCTCACCTTTGTTTAAACTTAATGAACTTTTGTTCAAATTGCATATGTGTAACAATATGATATACAGAACAGGCTTAGTGACAGTCTTGGGTTAAGGCACTGAACTCTCACTTGAAAGAACTTTACCTTGAAACTGTTTATGTCAGCTTCATGTATTTTCCTTGTGTATTTCCCATTCCCTCCTCTGATATGGAATCAGCATGAAGCTTTAGGTCCCGTCTTCTAGCCATCATCTTCATTCACCATATCTCTTGGCATAAACAGAATTGCACCCTGTGGGCACTCCCACCCAGAAGTAAATTCCTTCTCTGTGAATTGTGTACAGGCCAGGAAAATCAAAAAACCATAACTGGAGACATTAGAAAGAGAACAATTTTCTCTTCTCTGCTAAAGGTTTTGTCATTTCAGATGTATTCTTGTAGAGGCGTTTTGTATTGTCTCACTTATTTCATCTCGTATATGAGAAATTTTCTGATCACACATCAGAAAATTTCTGGACTAGCTGCAAGGTAACAGCTCATCTGTTGCATTGCGAAAGAATGCAGTCTATGTATGTTTAGGGCATAGATTTTAAACACATGGAAAAACTATGAATTAGCATTTTTACATGAATGTTGTGTGACATGTATGAAAAGTTGTATACTGAAATAATCTGAGAAATTCTGCACTGGAGATGTGATTCATAACCAGAAAAATGCTCCTTCTCACTCTTATCACTTCAGGGATATCATAGCCAGAAACTGTATGACTTTTCCCACCATCATCCATATCCCTAAGATCGCCCTGTGTGACTTTCTTCCTGTTTCCAAAACTCAATATAATACTCAGGGGAAGATATTTTATGATTTTGTGTTACTCAAAGAAGAATCTTGTATTATGCATGCAGCGATAAAAACGTGGGACTTCATAGTTGCTCCCAACAATGGCACAATCCCTGAATTCACTTATCAGTGAATCCCATGTGAGAAGATTCCTATACACAGGTGCCCCACACTGTAGTCGCTTCTACCATCATAAAACCAGGTCAACACGTAGTGGTCGCAGAGTTTTACCACAAAACAGAATTTTAACTTTCATGTTTTAATCTTTAGTTTATATTTTAATCGTTATATCTTTAATTTTAATTTTTATTATCGAAGCATTTTCAGTTTTAAATTTTGACCAAGACTCGTTATATGAATTTATGCATTTAAATAATTTCAAGACACAATAAAGGTCCGTATTTGAAAAACTAGATGAAAATTAATTGCAATACAAAAACTGAAACTGGAGCATTGTATGCCTGATGATGACCCACTATAAGGGTCGAAACATGTTGCGTCTGTAAAAACAAAATAAAAGCAAATGTTTATACAGTAGTGTCTTCTTTGTTTTTTAAATACAGAATATTGTTGTGTAGACTGCATACCTTATATACTTATATATCTTAAGATTAGTAATATTTCATTCACTGCGATATGATCTGTGCAAGTGACCAAATATAAATTGAACCAAAACGAGTACACAGTTCTAGAGCTGAAGCAGCTCTGTTGATATAATGGTGTCTCTATAATATCTGTGGCACATATTCGTGGAATTGGGTCTCATTTATAAATCATGTTTTGAAGAGGTGCCACCACCGTCACCTCCTCCTCTCCCCCTTCATTGTTGTTGTCATTGTTAATTGAAACACATGTAGAGGTAAAACATGTATTTCTTTTGACAGGATACAAAGAAGAAATTACGTGAAGTATCTGAAGAAAAACCATTATATAAAGGAGAACCAGAACCTCCACCTGTGTAAGTACTTTTAAACAGTATTGCCGTTATGCAGTTGGTGTGTCATCATATCTTGTAGGTTTGTGCTCGTAAGTTAATTCTGAATACAGTCACACCTCAGGATTTGTATTTCTTTGATTGCATATTGAACAAATGTTTATGGATTGCATATTTGTATGTTATTTAATGATGATATTTCAAGTCTAGTATTTGTTTAGCACTGGATGTGATCAGGTTTGATTTATTTTATTGCACTCACGGAATCTCAGACCCTGTAATGTTAAATGGGGGGTAGTTGGTGAATAACAAACTGGAAATGATTCAGAAGGAAGTGGTTGTGGCCTGGGCAGGTACTATCCTGGCATTTACTGGGAGGGACTGAGGGAACTGATGAAAAACCTGAACCTGGGTAACTGGTGTTCCAACCAAGTTGTGAACTGAGCAACTCCTAAATAGAAGTCTAGTGTTAAGATTACACTATACTTAGTATCTTTAGCTCAGTCAAATGATTGGATACAGAGTGAATGACCAGCCTTTGATTCCCAGTAAGGGTAAGTTTGTTGTCTTTAATATCATATCAATATTGTCTTTGAGGTTGACTGAACCTCTGCTTCAGTAGGCAGTGGAAGCTTTTTCATCAGGAATAAAGTAGATGCATCATAAGGCTGACTGTTTATCTTCCATTTGCTACACAGGTTTACAGTGTGTGTGTGGAGTTTTTGCTTCACTCTTGCTGTTGCCTTCATTGTGTGGTTTTAAGGCACACAGAACACTTTCCCCTCTTTATGCCAAGCCATTTCTTTACCTAGGATGATATAGTGTTTTAGAATTCAGATTATTTTTTATTAAAACTAACAAACACAAGACACTTAAATGTTTGTCTTGTTCATACTATACTGTTTTATAAATACTGTATAAAACATTTCTTGTAGCATAGTGCCACATTCTTATGATCTTGAACACTGTGAATGTGCTTTTATTTTGGCTCAGAATTAAATTCCATTATTGATTTCACATGAGTACAGATGAGTTAACTTTTCCTCTGAGCTGTGAGAATTTCAGTGTCTCCTGCATTCAGGTAATCGAGGAACTGAGTTGAATGAGCAGGTGTAGAGAAATGTGCAGGCCAACCGTAGTGAGACAAGGAAGATGTTATGATGTCACAGAGTGAATGTTTTAACTCATTTAGTCTTGTCCACAAGTTCATCAGACTACCCATGTGCTTCAGCCATTATTGCCCTAGAGATAAATTTTTGCAAACATATTTTTTGGTTTTTAATATTCTATTAAGGTTTCAGTAATTTATTGCTTAGACTACTGTTATATTTTGGGAGCCATCTGTCATGTGTGATAAACTGCAAGAACAAACCCTAATACTAAATCTTGCACCACACTGGAGATTTTTGACTGTGAATATTCCACAAAGGTAAAGTTACATGGAAGTACCTGAAGGTAAATTTGAACATGTGAAATAAATAATCTCACCTGTACTAAGTAGGTGATATTTATTGTTACATTCACTGGGGGGCCTCATTTTGCAGGAATGCTTATCAACTGTTCCTAAAAACATTCATGACAGATGCATCACACATTGACCCAGAATACCGAGAGAAGGAAGCTCCAAGGTATTGGCAGATGCTCCCTGAGGCAGATAAGGCAAAGCATCGAAGACGACTGAATGACATCAAGCAAAAGTACATCAGGGATTACGAGAAGTTCCTGAAGGTAAGATATGTACCCTCTGTGATCAACAGATTCTGCTGCTTGTATTTGCTAACATCTCTCTCAGTCCAAATGTGCTCGATGTTAAACTAAAGACAGAATAAAATAAATAACAGGCGGTTTGAGAATAAAGATCTCCCGTGTTCATGTTGCTGCTTTAACACCTCTTGTATGTGTGCCCCATACAGAGCTTGTCACAAGAGCAACTGAAAGACTACTCTCTGCAGAAAGCAAGCTTGAAGAAGGAAGAGGAGGACAGTTCTGATGATTCAGATTCTGAAGATGACAATGATGATGACAGTAGTGCAGACAGTAAAGATGGTAATTCAGAAAACCAGCAGGTCAGTGAAGTTGTATATTCTGCGGCAGGGCTGTCAAACTTCTCCATCCCCACTGTGAAAAACTTTGTTCAGTATGGTAACACATTTTCTTCCATATCAGTGAATCATATTAAGTTTGTCAGTGTAACTGCACAGTGACATCCTGTAGAAGATGGAGGGTTGCATGTGGCATAGGAGACATAGAAGGGTGGAAGTGGAAATTCCACTAATAGTTAACATACTTTCTTGGGCACTGTACACAAGACACATTTAGTGTTGTGTTTATATACAGGAAAATTCACAGTGACGTACCAGGTGTAACTGAGCTATATCTTGAAATTCCTTGAGCAGGATGAAGTTTAATGCCATACTTTTATACATTCTTTGCATTAAGGACAAAATGAACACTAAAAGGGTAGGTTATTTCTGTCTGTTTACAGCTCTGGAATCAGTAGATTTCAATAATAATTTGTTTTTGGGGTCTAAACTGAAAATGTTTCGTAAATTTAATGTTGGTACATGTTGGTCCTATATAATCCCTACTTTGTGTTTTTCTCAAATTGAACATTGTCAGCAGGTCGTCATACAAAACGCTGATACAGGACATACCATATATATAATTAATATCAAAAACTTCTATTTGATACATTTTCCAGTGTGGTAAATATTTAATGAAGTGTGAGGAAAAGTTATTTTTGAATATGCTGTATGAAGTCTGTAGTACTGTTGGGTTTGCAGCAATGGATTTGTCTGCAATAAATGGAAAACAATGCCATTGAGGTTTGCAAAATTGCTAAAACTGCCTTCAGATCTAATAGTATGAAATATTATCAGACATCATAGGAAACAGGCATAGGAGGCACCAGTCATTGAAATTACTTCCTACTCAGAGCTCACGTCCTGCTTGCTTTTGTTAAGCCACTCCACTGTGGCCATGGAGGTAGTATACGTGAAACAGATGACAGCCTGCTGATCATATGGAAGCAGCACTACCACACTAAAAGAATAGAATGCATTGTACTGCTGATGCTATGAACCATTTGTCCTACTGATGTATTTGGCTTGCTTACGATGTAGATGGCCCCCTTATTTTATAGATGGTACATTAGGAATGCAACTGTATCTTATATTCAGGCATTTACAGTACTGATAGTATAAATTCTGTTAATGGAAAAGATAGGTTCAGCACTAAAAATATTACAGTTCTTTGATACATACATTTTTGTTTGTATTTTGTTGAATTACATCACATCAGAGTGTTTCAAACAAAGGTTATAAATCTTGCAAGTATATTAAAACGTCTGTGTATAACACAGTCCATTAATAACGCAACAAATTATTCCTTTTTCTTCCACTTATACTTTAACACACCATGTTTCAGCCTTAGATGGCCATCTTCAGGTGTCTTAATATATCAAAACTGCTACACTGCAGTAATATGCAGTAAAATCACATGCTGTAGTGCACTTAATAAAATAAAATTCATTAAAATTTTAATTTTCATCACTTTGGTGAAATTCTATTCCACCTCTCAAGGGGTGTCATCCATTTGTTTAGAACTATGTTTCTCTCCATGTGTTTTGTTGCAGCAGGTTGTTTTTATGTTCGTTAGCCCATTGTGTTACTACGTCTGCAATCTGTAATCTACAAAATGCTACATGTTAATATTGTTTTTGATTGTTATTAATGTTATGTTATGATATTGTAACGTGTCTGGAATCCAGAAGAGTCACTTCTATGGAAACGCTAAAACAGACCGTTGCATAGGAAACAACATTCGCTCTACTGTAGTTCTAACAGGAATCTCCACGTTTACGACGAATACGCGAAGCGTTCCCACAGAGACAACGCAATAACAATGGGTCATTGCGTAGGAAACGCAGAACCGACAAAGCAACGTTCCCACCGCTATAACAGAGGGTTCGTTGCATAGCAGCGACCAAGGTTATATAGCGGGGCTGAATGCATTCGACAGTCAGTCTCGGAATAGCCAGCTAAGAAGTTAGTCGTGATCGAGCCATCTTAGAAGAGTCCTAGAATAACCGCCAGAGAAGAGAGTCCAGTGTCGGCCGGAATATTGTAAGCAGTAATTGTAACACTGCAAGTGCAAATGTTTGTAAAGTGTGTGTAAGGCAAGCGAACAGAATAAACTCGCTATACCAAACAATGGCGTGAGGTTATTTGTCGCGTTATACACCCAAAACGTGACAACTGGTGTCAGAAGTTTTACGAACCTACACATGCCACACACTAATTCTCGTGCATCGAGTACTTCACTGATATAACATGGAGTCACAACAGATAATGGAACTCCTGCTGGCCATGTGAGAAGAGAGAAAAGCTGACCAGGCCAAGGCCGATGCCAGATACGAAGAAGCGAAAATCAACCAGACGAAAGCGGACGCCCGACATAAAGAGATGATGGCCGATTGGAGAGCATGGCGAGAAATGGCCGCCGTGACTGACAACAGAAAGAAGATAGTGCCCGAAACGGATAAAGAGATGACTGCCTACCGGGAAATGGAGGCACATCCAGAAGAAGAGCCGACCTCCGTAGAAACGAAACCTGAGGCGGCAGAGCATCGAGAAGTCCCCGTAGATGACGCCCTGAGAATACTGGTCAGAGAACCGAAGGAGAGGCGTAGGGACTGGAAACTGGCCGCGGAGTGCTGCCGCCAGACAGCGAAGGATGCAACATGGGAAAATCGTGGGCCCCGCAAAGAATTGGCCGTCACAAACAGAAGGGCAACACGCCGTGTGGAAGCGGCACGGCAGGAGGAAAACCGCAGGAAGACATCCCGTTGCGCGACAGTGGCACAATGTTGGAGAAACAACTTCAAGAAGGAAACTCCCCAGGGAGCCTTCAGATGCCAGCGTACAGGAAGGAAAGGGGTAAAGACGATAGGCGGCAGACAGCCGCTATGCCAGACGAAGGAAGTGCCAACCAAGAAAGGCATCGGAGGGTGCAGGCTGGGACAACGATCGCACCCAGGAAGGAGAGGAACCCAAGAGAAGACCACCTACGAGGCTGTCAACGTGAAGAACAGGAAACTACTTATCAGGTTTACCGCGAAAAGTTGGACACTGTGGAGGGGTCGACCCCCTCCAAAACGGAAAAAAGGAAATGCCCAGTACGGGAGGCAAAGTCGGCAAATTGGATCCGTAACTTCGGGATAAGGATTGGCTCTGAGGACCGGGGCGCGTCGGGCTTGGTCGGGAAGCGGGCCTGCGCCAACGAGCCGGGCCTGGGCGAGGCGATGCCGCGAGGCGGATCCGAGCTCGGTCCCGAGCCTTGGCCTCCCGCGGATCTTCCACGCTGCGAGGGCCCGCGCTAGCTCGCGGCGCCCTCTTCGGCCGCCACTCAACGGTCGACTCAGAACTGGCACGGACTCGGGGAATCCGACTGTCTAATTAAAACAAAGCATTGCGAGGGCCCTAGCGGGTGCTGACGCAATGTGATTTCTGCCCAGTGCTCTGAATGTCAAAGTGAAGAAATTCAAGCAAGCGCGGGTAAACGGCGTGAAGTTATTTGTCGCGTTATACACCCAAAACGTGACAATATGTTGGTTTACTTTATACTCACATGCCCCTTGTTTGTGTGTTGTCATCTTCACCAGTGCAGATATGGTTGCACCAAAAGTGAAGCCTGAACTGAGGACAAATGTAGGAGGAGGGAAGGAGGTGGGTAAGAGAGAATGAGCAGGAGTAGGGATAAAATAAAAATAATCAAAATAGTTATATGGTGAAGTAAATAAAAGTAATAAAAACAGAAATTGGCAAATGTCAAAGGGAAAGGGAAGTAAAGAAGCCTGGGAGGGAGACTAAATTAAAATAAAGATGACTGAGTAAGATAAGAAAATATAAAATAACAGGAAGGACTAGAGGGTAAACAGCATAAGAAAAATTCTTCTGCAAAGGGTCATTTAAGGTCAGGACCAAGGTTGAAAAATGAAGTGAAAATAGATGGATGGAAACAAGCTAGTGAAGGAGGGAAATACAGAAAGAAAGAGAATGAACAAAAAATATGCATAGAAATAAAAATAAAATACAGGAGGGGCTGGTGGGTGGCCTTCAAAGGGCCATTTAAGGGCAGGATGAGGGGGGATGGAAGGCCAAAAACATGTGCAAAATAAGGAAGTGGGAAGAGTTGGAAGGCACAAAATGGGAGATGAGGTAGGAAAAGATAGAATACAAAATGCATAGAAGTACAGTTGTCCCTGTGCTTAACAGTGGCCTTGCAGAGGGATACTTAAGGGCAAGATGGGGGGGNGCAAAGATGGAAAGCCAAAAGCAGGTGGGGGAAAAATAAGGAAACAGAAAGAAAGGAAGGAGTGGGGAGAAGAAGAGAAAGAAAATGAGGCCCTGTAAAGGATGGCTGTCAGTATCTCTGAAGAAGGTAGTTTTCACTGGGGCCTAATGGGCATGCCGGAGATATAGAATATCTTTCAAAGGAGGTTTTCTCCATTATTTCAGGGAATAGATGAGAGGGTTCCATGCCTGACATTTTATTTTTATATTTACTTAACCCTGTGAATTGTTATTATTTTAACCTTTTTTTACCTGTGAAATGTTTTACTTTATTTTTAATTTATTTATGTTCCTGTTCATTCTCTGTCCTTCCTTTATTTTTCCACCTCCATCTGTGTGTCAGATAACTTTCATTTTTTGGTACCATTATCTACTGGTCCACCCAGTGTCAGGGTGGATCTTCCATCACCACATCAAAACTACTTTCTTCCATGCTTGCCTTACTCTTCCTCCTTGATGATGAGGGCAGTATATTCCTTTGAAACATGGTATCACATTCCAGAAGATGACTATCTTTGTGTGAACATACTGGCACAGCCTTATTCTATGCACTGAATGCAAAGAACATGTAGGGACAGGGTCTAAGTATTGTGTTCTCATTACAGGGATCAGGTTCTGATGATGACGACTCTTCATCAGATAGTGGTAGTGACTCAAATAACTCCAGTGAATCAAGTGACACAGGAGACAACAATGAGAATAATGATTCTGGTGATTCATCATCAAGTGATTCAGATTCTGACTGAGTATTTTTTAACTCGGCGGACAAGTTGAGTAGATAAATGCCAACTCACAACTGAAAAACAAATGTAATTGATGTATTAATGAGAGGGGAACACAGCTTTATTACAAAATTTTACTACCTATATGAGGATTATCACTTTGGGTTACTGTGATTTACTTCCACCAGAATTTAAAAGTTCTGATGTCATGACATGCATTCAAGATCATGAACCTGTGCACACATCAATAGTTCAGTCAGTGATCTGGTTTAAGGTCCATAAGGGCTTCATTTTGATGTGTTATGTTTTATTCTGTTTAATAACTAGTGATACAATTTGGCTCAAGTCCCTGCCTCCAGTAAGGGTTCTGAAATGCTTTTTGGCAGTTTCTTTGATTTTATTTCATTGTATTCTGTAATTAATCTTCCCAATATAGGCATACTATTCACTGTTTGAGGAAGGTTCTAGATCACAACCCTGGCTTCATTTACACTTCACTGTCAGTACATTCTTTATTATTATTATTATTATTATTGGGTTTATCACATTTTCTGATAGCTTTTTATGTATATATATGTGTGTGTGTGTGTGTGGTATCTTGCAGCATTTTTTTGTAATACAAAAGTGTTCTTGTGAATATATAGACTCATTATTTATCTGCTGATATAAATATAATTTTTATAGTTCTCATCAAATATTTTGGGGGTTTCGCAACCTTTCACTTCCAACCCCAAGTCTACTTCTTGACAAGATAATGTGACTCTGAAAAAACTGTGACCATCACTTATTTTCAGTTTGTTTTTTATAGCTACCAGTGTACCATGTTCCTGGGAAATGATTTGTAGAGCAAAATATTGTACGTTGACTTTTCTTCCCTATACAGAACATTAAAAATGAGTGTTAAATTCTTTGCTGATTTTTTTAGTGGTAAACTTCTGAGATTTTGAGATTGGTCATTGATTTAAAAATGAAATATTAATATAGTAACACATAAGAATAATTTAATAATGTATTAAATAATGAGTTTGCATTTCAAAATGTTATATATTTCAACACAGGTATGGTAATAAAAATTATTCTGAAGACCATCTCATAAAGGAAACTGGAAATTTGTGGAGATCACATGGAAAGGGGGTGGCAGTAGCGTTACTAACACATTGTAACGTTTTTGGGGTATGTGACTATAGACAGGGTTTGGTTTGGTGAATGGATTTATTGACCACTTATACACATTACTCAGTGCCCCTGCTAATCTCCACAATTCACAAATGACCACAGCACCCCCTAAGCTGTTTGCACCCTGCTGTGTCTCGATCAGCTGTTCCCTGGCAATGGCTTCTAACAGTGCAGATTCTTCAGTTTCATGCACTGAGGTCCTATCTTTACTGATTCCCATACAGAACTCTTCCCAAGTATCAACTCAACTATAGTGCCATCTCTTCTCAGCCTCCCTTGCATAGCCCATCTCTCAGCCATCTACCAACTGTCAACTGAACTGGTTGCTCCAGTTATCTTCTTTTTCACTCCTTGATGCGGACCACATAGACAATACCGTTTCTCCCGTTGCATGCGTAACTGTTGCTACTGGAATGCGTTTACTGAGCCATGGCCCAGAAACGGGTCCAATATAATTTCCCAGCTCATGATCACTGCACAGCAACACCTATACACACTACAGTATATTTGCTCTATTTCTTTGTCAGTTGCTGTAATTTGTGAAGTTGAGGCTGTTGAACTTAGAGCTGTTTAAATTCATGTAATAATTATATGAAAATGTATGAATAAGCTGTACAGATAACTGTGGTTGCACCAAACTCTGCTGAAAATTTTGCACCTCGAGTGAGAGACAGGTGCAGAAGAAATCCCAAAACAGGGGTATCCCAAAGAATGAAAATTTGCAAACTGAAATGTTATAAATCAGGGTATATCTCTTATGAACATTTGCATTCTAGGAGCAGGTTAAAAGAACATGACCTAGACACATAGTGTGCTTTCCTTGTGCGAAGATGTGGAACCACCATAGGCAGTACTTACACTCTTGATATTAATAAAAAAAGAAGTAAAGTTATTCCTGTAACAGGCTGTGGAGGCCTATAGGGTTGTGAGATGTTGAGGCTCCCACATTTTCTAGATAATCGGCTCATAGATGGCGGTAAGGTTGTCAGCCCTACACGCCAGCCGCCTTTTACCCCCAAGAATATTCCTGGTACTCAGTTTTGTTAGAGGCTGAGTTGGCCCCAGGGTCGTAGTGCGGCTGAAAGGATTAGGTAAATTGAAAAAAATCCAATGACCTCATCCGTACTTGAACCCATGACCTTCCAGCTTGTAGCATAGGCCCTCAACCAACTACACAAAATGAAAAATACTTGTCAGTGCTAGAAGAATACAGTAGTGAAAATGGTGAGGATAAGCTCAGTTGATTTTCTTAATAATGTCAGTTATAACAAAATTACATGGGTTTCTTTGTTGTATGCTGCTTACCTTCATGTGGTGCCAAGGTTAAAAATTCATTGATCTTTACTTCCTCACTTCCTGTACAACTTCATGGTGTGTTTAGGCACAGAGACCACATTACAACTGTGGTATCTTTAATTAGGATGAAATAATTTCTGGTACACAGTCTGTGATATTTCAAGGTGAATATTTGTAAATTTATATCCATCTTCTGTGTTGAACTTTTGTCCTTCGGGACTGTCATCTAGTTTCAATTTGAGGCATCAGAACTGATGGTTCAATCCTCCCTTAACCCTTCAGCAAGAGAATATAAATCCCTCAATTTACTGTCCTGTAGGAGGATTATTAAATACCCTTTAAGTTTAGCAGTGAATCTTGGAAGGGGCATAATTTAATTAGTTTTACATGTTCATTATTAGTAGCATATTACATACATAAGAGACACCAGGAATCATATTATAAATAGNAACCCCCTCACCACGATAAGGTGGAGACACCAACGAGGGAGAAATAGATGTATGTAGCAGCTATTGAAGCAGTAATGCAAATACAAACCAGCTTCATAATAAGGGCATAAGCAGACTGATCCATTTCTCTTGCCTTGCCTTGTCTTGAGCACAAGACAGACCTGCCATCCATGAGGTTTAGACTTCTTTCTAATGGAAGGAATATTTGCCAGAAAGTCTTTTAGCAGGTGATTCTGCAGATGATGCCTCAGAACCAAATTTTTACAGGAGTCCTTTGAATATGCTAAGTCTTAAGTGATATAGTCAGTTTTCTTAATAACCGATAGAAACCAGTATATTACCACTGAATTAGAAATGGCAACAACTGATCAGTCTCTTGGATATTTTTATGTACCACTTGCAGATGTCTTCTGTTCTAGTAGATAATGCCTCTCATCTCTGTGGTATGTGGATATCTTTGTCATTCCTTTCTTATTGTGTAAGGCCAGAACTGTTAATCCCCACAGTACTGACCAAACCAATCTCCCCCCCCCCATTTCTCAGCTTTGATCAAGGGAGGAATGTATTTATTGTTCAACACATAAAATGTCAACACAGTGTTTCTTTATATTTCTGTAAATGTACCAGCTCCAAAGAATTAAAACAATTGTTCATTCAGAGTATGTAAATGCAACCCCACGTAGAATCCACGAGTTTGATCACCACTGCTGTATATTGTTTTGTCAGAATTTATAAACAAACATTAAAATCATTAAAAAAAACTCCACACACGAGGCCTAGCACCTATGTCCATGCATTATTTCACACCTATTGTTATTAAAATCTGAATACTATCAGAAAAAAAGACATCACTAAAGAAACAAATTCTCTGTATGGTACCAATATAAAAACGTGATTTTCACATATAATCTACACTGGATAGAGATGTAGTGTTCTGACTTCTGCTGCAATAATGGGAGTCCAGATGGCAGAGATGTCCAAGCTGGGTTGACTGATCAGATGATCTACCAAAGATGGATTCCTTGCATTTCCTGGAGGTGTTGTTTGTTTCAATCTGCAAGACTTCCACTTATTTCCAACATTTTGTGGTGTCAGTATGTGTGTTGGGCTGATTTTGAGGTTTCCTGACACTGAAATGGTTTCCATTGCATTTGAATTTCTCAGAGATGCCCTTAACATATGGGATAATGACTGTGCCCTGGTATATTGTATCTGAGGGACGGTTGCTACTCAAGGGCTTCATTATGGAGCCAGTGAATTCTAGCGGGTATTCATTATGCATCAGATCATGTCTTATGTTCTTAATTTCCATGTTGGAGTCCTGATCCTGACATATGACCTTGGATCAACTGATCAAACTATGAAAAACTCTCCTTTTCACATGATGTGGATGGTTAGACTCAAGGTGCAGACACTGACCTGTATGAATAGGTTTCTGGTACACTTTCATGGCCAATTTAGGACCCCTCTTCATGACCAAGGCATCGAAGAAGAGAAAACTATCATTAGCTTCAACTTCCACTGTGAATGTGATGTAGGTCTGAGGCTATTGAGGTGGTGAAGAAATGCTGCAATCTTGCTGGTCCATATGGGCAAACCACAAACATGTCAACATATCTGAGCCACTTAGCAGGTTTGTGGTGTGCTGTATCCAATGCTGTCTCCTCAAAGTGTTCCATAAATATATTACCACTGGAGATAGTGAATTTCCCATTGCCATACCCTCTTTCTGCTGATAGAATTTATCCTCAAACCGGAAGTATGTAGTTGTCAAACAGATGTCCAGCAATTCCGCCTTCAACTTGTACAGGTGAATGTTCTGGGAAAGAAGGATCCATATTGAGTCTATTTCTTATGATCTGTAAGACTTCTTCCACTGGTATGTTGGTGAATAGACATCAAAACTTAACAAGCCAGTCTTCATTTTGAAGGCTGATCTCCTGTACTGATTTTATGAAATGTTCTCCACGAAAGAGTTTGTATTGCCTAGTAGAGACCTCAGGATCTTATAGAGAAAATTTGCTAGGGCATAACAGGGTGAACCAATAGAGCTACTTGTTGGTCTAATGGGCATGTCAGGTTTGCATATCTTTGAAATCCATAGAGGTGAGGTGGTTTACTTGGTGAGAAGTAAGTTTGTGTTTCAAGGCAGCAGGAAGTACAGTTTTGTATTTGGTAAGAAGTTTCCATATCTTTCCCTCAATTTGAGACATGGGATCCTTACACAGAATTTCATGAACCCCTGATTCTGTTAGACTGGACGTATGTGGACTTGTTCATCACTACTATGCAGTTTCCCTTGTCAGATTGTAGGATTCTTATTTCCTTGTTATATTTTAGAGATTTCAAAGTCACAGATTCCTTCCTAGTTATGTTAGATGTCAAAGGCTTTGAGTTTTACAACATACATCAAATCCTCAACAAAACTCCATACCCAAGGCAGGGAGAAGTTTGGACCTTGCAGGTTCAGGCGTACATATTTACTTACTCATGGAGCTGAGCCCTTCTGGAGGAGCCACCAATTCTGCAGCTACTCAAGAATTTCCTGGCATTTTATGGAACCCGAAGGTTCATTACCATGTTCACAAGAGCCCTCCACTGGTCCCTATCAATCGAATCCATACCATGTTCAAATTAGATGTTCTATTTCTTTTACTCCAAAATTAAGACCTCTCTTAGGCATCAGTTCTTCTGATTCTGTGAGAACATGCTCTGGTAAATGGAGGAAAAATTTCTGAGACCCATAAATAGCTTTTGGGGTTGTGCTAGCCTGATGGAGATCTTTCAGAGCTAAGGGTTTTTTAATATGGACTTCTAAAGTGCACACTATGTAATATTTAAATCCACTGTTGAGAAGAGGTAACCGAAATAACAATTTGCATAACACCTGAAGTTCTATAGTTGTTTCCATTATGTGTTGGTGAGTCTGTGCAAACTGCAAACATAAGTGTTAAAGTGTTATTGGGTATTATATGGAAGTTTATTTAAAGTGGTATTAATTAACAACCATGCCCAAAAAGGTGTTTGTTTACAGCTACTATTAAGACAGAATTTCCATTTTTAAAAAACAGCAATCAACATGAAAAGGGGAAAGTTGAGTGTATGCAAACACAATTTTATGTTGGGCACGAGGGACTTCCAGATGGTGTGAACCATATCAAAACCAACATAAACAAGTAGACTTGCAAAAAAGTTCGAGTGAGAAAATAACTATTTACATAAGAAACAGCTGCACCATAGCTCAAGAGGTTAGTCGCTGGCTTCCCACCACAGCAGCCTGGGTTTGATCCCGGGTCTGGTCAAGTGGTGGAAAAGGCGCTGGGGCAGGTTTTCTCAGAGTACTTCAGTTCCCTCTGCCAATCTTCACTCAACCAATTGCTCCACAATCACCCTCACCTGTCATCTGGGGCTGGTACAATAGGCCAGAAGTGGCCGCAGTACAAGGGACTTAGTCCCACCCCACTAGCAATAAGAAAAAAATACATAAGAAACGCGAGCATGTGCGATACAGAAGAATTGTTTGTGGCTGCTGAAGCTACATTCATCATGTGGCAAAATATTATCAAAGTTTTGACCAACAGACTGTACCACCAGGGTAATAAAGAAGCTGTACAGTAAGAAATTTACTTGCTCACATACAAAAGCACAGACAGTAATTGTGAATGTACTATCTCTTTGGGCAATAGAAGAATTCACCAAAGATTTAAACAGTTCATTTTATCTCTGTGCTAGCTGAAGATATTACTTACCAGAAAATGGTGTACAAGTAAAAGTACTAGAATTTACCTGGACAAATATCCACTCTCGTCACTGATCACATCTTAAAAGTGTTGGAAAAATTCAACCCATAGGATAAAATCACTGCTTCTCAACTAATAATACTAATTACTACTTGGTAGTGCCAAGCGAAGAGGAAAAAACAATGTTTTTACAGAACTGTGAGATTCTATGAAGAGAAATATAATTGGAGTAGGATGTGCTGATCACATAGTGCATAACAGAATACAAACTGCAGGAGATTGTTTGCCAGTTGACTTCAAAGTATTGTTAAAATTGATCAGCATTTTCATATTTACACCATAAGATTGGGACAACTGGATGTGTTTTGTAACATAATGAAAAATATAAAACTGTATAGGTCACAATAAGATGTGTTTGTTGGTTGTCACTGCTGCCTGCTTTGGAAAGATTTACTGATTGTTTTAATGGGCTAAAAATATATTTCTTTTCTAAAGTGTACTTGGTTGTAAAAGACAAATTTTAATATCACACATCTGGAGATTCCTCCCTCACTTTACACTGTGGCCTAAATAAGAGATCCAATAAATGGCTGCTTCTGTAAATGAAATGTGGTAAAACTGCCCTAAATGTATTATCTCATCTGAAGGCATCCAAAGAAGCCCTACTCTTTTTCAAAGAAGCCATGTCTTATTTTAATATCATTTCCTGTTGAAAGGGAATGTTCGTCAAGTATATGTTTGGTGTTACTGCAGGTTAGACACACAAGCTTACATAAATAAGGGTCACCATATAAAACTAAATATTTTGTTCATGACATTCATGTACACCCTATGTGTGAACTACTGCCCAGGCAGTAGCTAAATGCTCAAACTTCTAAATTATTTAAAATGGTACTCGCATCTGAAAATGTTTGAAAGGCAAATTAAGGAAAGTTCATATTTTATGCTTTTAAAACTGCAGGACATATTGAAGCCAAAAATGATTCATAATTAAACAGTATTTGTTTCAGTGTGCACTGTTTTACCATATCCATTTCTTGTGCCATCTGCTTGATAATGCATTAACATGGCAATGTAACAAATAGGGCTATCCCTAGTGGGGCAGCTGCACAGGACCTCACACCTTTGGCAGCTCCATACATCTACATAAAATATGAAATACTTCTTGTATACTATGAGTGTAGCAGAAAAATGAGAGATTCGTTTTTGTATTCCAATTCCTATGCCAGTTCATACTGAATTCAGATCAGTACTATAGCAACTATCTGCACTGTTGTCATTGTTCATTATTAATACATCTTAAATACCTTGAGCTTTGAAAACGGTATATTCGACACTAGACCTTATAACAGGAAGGCATAACACTGTTATCAATAAGTAACTGAAACATCGTGGCTGGTAGTAAAGTGGGGACTTCCCAGACAATAAAATAAACTAGCAAACAGAAGTGTGCCACTGATTTATTAACAATGGAATCTTTCTACCTTACATAACAGACTTTGCAATCAAAAGAAGAAAGTCTATATATTTTACATTTTAAATAATTTAATTCTGATCATGTTACTTTCTGCTTAATTTTGATCTTCACATTTAATACGTAGGTAAGTCAATAAGTAAGTTACAAATGGATATAGAACTTAAATAAAAGTACTGATTTGAAAAATGCTTTTATTTCTCAACATAATCTTCCTGTACAGTGAGGCACTTATCCCATCATTTCACAAGGCCCTGAAAACCAGCAGCATAAAATTCTTTGGGCTGCTGTCGGAACCAGGCGGTGACTGGGATCACGAAGGCATACTGCTCACTGCATTCCAGCCTCAAGGACAAACCGTAAATGCCGACTCCTACTGTAACATCCTCAGGAAACTTCTTACAGCCATTCAACAGAAGTGACCAGGACTCCTCACCAAAGGCATGTTGTTCTTGCATGACAATGCGCATTCCCATACTGCCAACAAGACAAATGAGATGCTGAGAAATTTCAAGTGAGAAGTCCTCGAGCATCCTCCATATAGCCCCGACCTTGCTCCAAGCGACTTCCATTTGTTTGGCCCTCTTAAACATCATGTTTTGGCTGAACATTTTCCTGACAGTGAAGCTGCAGAAAGGGAAGTCACCACCTGGTTCCGACAGCAGCCCAAAGGATTTTATGCTGCTGGTTTTCAGGGGCTTGTGAAATGATGGGACAAGTGCCTCAATGTACAGGAAGATTGTGTTGAGAAATAAAAGCATTTTTCAAATCAGTACTCTTTATTTGTTTAAGTTCTATATCCATTTGTAACTTACTTATTGACTTACCCTCATATTTAACAATGGGTGGAAACTTCACAACAAAATATGAGTAATTCAAGACATCAGATTATGTGACAGTGTACAACAGATGCATGCAGTCTTCAGATGGCAATACACGTCAAATAATACTGTGAACTAGAGAAGTCTTGGTCTTTTTACTGTGTTGTTATATATAAGACTAAACTCTTATTATAAGTCTGGAGCTAGGTTCCATGAAAACTGAACCTACAAATTGCTGCCACTGAAGCTAACATTTATAAAATGCTGTGTGTCCCACATCCCCCACATGACCCTGGTAACAGTCCATTCTCAACTAAACTAAAGTCATTCAAAAGAACTGTACGAGGGAGAATTACTTTAATTTACTTATTGACACAAACATTCATTTAAAAGCTAACCTAAAGAGAGATATTCCATAGCAGTTTCAACCTAATCACTTTAAACAGTGTCTCTGAATGGTGACTTGTTAATTAATCAGAATAATAACAAGAACATTATTCTAAGGTACAAACAAATTCTAATGATATTCAATACGTACACACATAAGCCAATAAATAGTTCAGTGACAAGAGGCAAAACCAATTGCTAATCCAGCAGCAAATCCCACCAGGAAAACGTGAATTCCATTTAGTTGGTATGGTTTTTCACCAGTGATGAAAGTATGGTACCAAGATCGTGCCTTGCGCTCCCTCCTCTTCAAGATATCCTCAGCTTTGTCCAGCTTACGATCAACATAACGTTCCACCTGAAAATAAATTCAGGGTCAATTCACACATCATGTGCAACTCTCTTTAGTAATGGCTGCTGAAACCTCAACACAACTAACATCAAAACCCAGAATGACATGATTATCCCAGATCAGTTCATTCTAGTTCACATCCCCATAACATTTCTCCTTAGATCATTTTTAATATTATCTTCAAACCTTCCAGGTGGCTACTTTCCAAATGGTTTCCCCATGACAGTTTTATATGCTTGTATTCCCATCCAATTTACATATCCAGTCCATTTTAACCATTCTTGATTTCACTAGTGCCCATGTAACTTAGGTGGTCTGTACAAATCAAAACGTTTCTGATTATCCTTAATTTTTCACCCACTTCATCCCTCTTCATTTAAAAGATCAGTGGCCTTGATTTCACTGCCCTTATAACATTAGGTATCCTGTATGGAGGAAAACGGTTCTAATTAGCCAAAACTCTGCACCCACTTTAACCCTCTGGTGAAAATATCCATAACCCTGATTTCACTGGCCTTACAATACTAGATGACCAGCATAAATTAAATAATTTTACTTACCCTTCATTTCTCACTTATTTCATCACTCTCTGGTCAACATTTTTGTAACCTTGATTTCACTACCCTTACAATACTAGGTGATCCATTTGTAAATTGAAACATTTCTAACTGTCCTGCATTTCCCATCCAATTTGTCCCTCTTGGGTCATGATGTGAGCACACTGTTTTCAAACATGCTTTAAATTCTTCCCTCATACCCATAAGAGAACTTGTAAAGTGATATTCAATGTTAATGGTTTGGGAAGTAAACCGTTTCCGAACTGAATAATAAGATTTCTTGAATCTGTGTTTACATAATTTCATCATGAACCTCACTTTTGTCTGTTATTGCAGTCTGCATATATTTAAATTTCATAACACTTTAAAACAATTGCCTATATATTCCTTTGCACAGTGTGTTTCCGGAAAAACTAACTCCATGAGAGTCTTTCCTGAGTAACTCCCTGATATGAAAAGCCTTTCATGATTACCTAACCCATTGGTACAGTGATCTTCCTTTGCCAGCAGACAGAATGACACTCCCTGAGTAATGTGGCAGATGTAATACATTCCTCCCCCCCCCCCAAGGTGTCTCCACCTTGTCATGGTGGTGGGGCTTGCGTGACTCTGTGACCTGGAGAGCTATGCCAGCAGTAGTTTGACTACTGGTAGGGTCACCCATGCTGGAAAGGTCAAAGGGTAGAGTCCAGATTAAGAGAGATACCCTGGTCCTCCAGGTTGGGGGTTGGGCATGGGGCTAACAACCTCATCCTGTAAAAAGAATTTTGTTCAGAAACCTAACAACCAGCCATCCACACAAACTTTTAACATATGATTAATCAGAACTTCTCTGGTTACTTCCACCTTCTTTTTCATACCTTGGACTATGTATGTACATAAGTACATATATTTCCTCTTTTCCACAAAGGAATTGAAGTGTCTGACCTCTGAACTATGAAACTGAAATGCACATATGTATATGTTTTGTGTAGTGAAACATAAGTTATGAGTGTGGGCAGTCATTGATCATTATTTCATAATTACCAGTGAAATATGCAAGACGATTTGTACAAAGTGCATTATAGTGGATTCAAGAATGTCACGTTAATTTGATTTCACAAGTGATTTTTTGGTGTGTCACAGAACAAGGGAGTAGTTTTGCTATCTAAACTCTGAAGATTACACATGTGAGTAGCGCAGCGGACACCATGGCATATATGTTATTTTTGAATCTGTGTAAGTACTGGTAAGAAAATAGTGTAAAGTGAGGTGCAAATTGCCACTGAAGAAGATATTCTTGCATTCATACCTTAGCTTTGTGTGACATACAGTGTGAGGAGTATAATGTGTGTTGTGATTACAAGAATATCGAATGATATTCTTTTACCCCACAAAAGATTCGCCAGTTGCTCTACTAATGAACATTCATTGCTTGTATGAAGACTATATGGTCATAAGAAGATGGTGTCTATAGTGAAGCAGATGATGTCATTGATAACATTCATGCAGTCATGTGTAATAATATTCTTCAAAATATGTACAGTGACGTGTAGGAATTGTGTCATAGTGTGCAAAATAAGGGCAAGTGAATCTGGTATTGGAAATTCGTTTATGGTGTGATACAGAATGGTGTCTTCTATTTTCACCCAATCTTTCAAGACTATGTGTTTGGTTAAATAGTATACAGCATCACCTAACTATTCTGTTCGCATCAGCAGAAGTGCTCGTAAGAAGACACACTGTAAAGTGAAGTGCAAGTTCCCTCTCAAGAGAGTCCTCCAATCACAATTTATATATTTGTGTGTATATATAGTTATGTTTTCTGTGTATGTGTGTGTAGTATTTTCAAGAATGCAGAGTTATGATTTGGATTCATCTACAATGGAGTCAACATTTTTCCATGTTATGTATGTATATTGCTTGCATCAAGAGTAAATGCTTATAACAAGGTGTGTTTTAAGTGAAACACATAGCTTATATATGCATAATGGAAACAAGAAGACATAATATGACACAGAAACAGCCACAATTCAAAAAATATGAAGGGACATCAAAGACATATCTTAGGAATACTATTTGATTAGCGTATAGTGAATTAGAATCTTTAAATGTTTCCTGAATATGGCCTTGTAAGGCTGAAACATGTAGCACCATAACAATAACATGTGTATAGATATATTTTAATAACTTAATANACACACACCCTGACCTGGATTCAAACATGTGATCCCACTGCTCAGGTGTTTCATGAAATTGTGCCATAAGGCAACACTCTACATTAATAAATCGCTGCAGCCTCAGCTATAGGCTGGGTAGCTAGAGTTCAATTCCTGGCAGGAAGAGGAATCAATACCATGTCCAGACTAGCTGTGGGATCCACTCAGCTTTCCATCGTGTATTCTGAGCCCTCAGAACAAAATTTTGTGCAACCTCCAGAAACACAGTAGCTAATTCCTTTTTACACATCCAATAAAAAATCCTTATTTGTTCTCACAAATGGAGTCTAAGTTTTCTATCCATGAATGTGAACAGAGCAAATTTCCATATTTGTGAATGTGACCATAACTGAATTCATTCCTCGTGATTGCAGCCATATACAAAATATTTGTACATGAATGCAGCAGTTGCAAAGTTCTCAGTCAATGAAAGTATGACGGGCATTCAAGTTCTAAGGCCTCTACAGCAGTGTTGCCACTATTAAAGTTCCGACCCTCGTATGTATGAATCTTTCACCTTAGCCAAAGCATGGCCATTGTTTTGGGTATGGCATGAGATGCATTCCTATACCTCCTAGTTCTATATATTAAAGAATTCTGTGTTACCATAAGTTTATACTGCAGCCAGGATGGCTCAGTATAGCGACAGGCAATGGGCTAGACAACCGGGGTTCAATTCCCAGCAGGAGCATGAATTTTTCTCTACTCCACAACATCCAGACCGCCTCTATGGCCCATTCAACCTCCTATTCAATGGGTAGCAGGAGCTCCTTTCCCACCTGGGCGTGAAGCTGATCACTCACCACCAGGTGCCATGTCAGACTGATGGAGCGTTATCTCCACTCCCTCATGTGTCTTCATGGTGTGGTGCTTAATTAATTAAGCAAAGGAACAACTTTGCGTTTTACTTTAACCTTAAGTTATACTATAAACAGCATGCACATAGATGCAGAGAAGCTCAACAACACAAGTCAAACCTTTTCCATCCACTTAGGACTCTCTCCAGTAGCCTTTTCTTCTACAATGTCTGCAACTTTATCAACCTGTTTGTAAACCTTATCCCAGTTCACTTTGATGTAACCTTGGTAGTTTGCAATCTGCAAGAGTATGATGCCTCCTCCAAAAGTAAGGGCTGCAACTTTCCCAATTTTCACAGTAATAACACCTGTGCACCTGTAAATGAGCATATGCAGTTAACATTATTTCTGGCCAATACTGTATCTGAGTTTTCCACAAGTAGCTGACTGTCATTTGCGATGACATTTACCACCCAGAAATGGTTCCAATTAAAAGTTGTATTGCAGCCGAAGATTTCCCTACGTCTCCTAATACTTTGTCAATTAATCCTTCATCAATACTTATCAAATCATTTTCTTCTTCTTTATTGGACTTCCTGGCTGATGGAGGTGCCATTGTTTCTTCTCTCTGAAATTAAGGTCTGAAATTAAATTAAAAATTACTCAAAACAATACTTGGATCATGTGCTGCAAGACCACAGTACCTGTTTTCAAAATTTATTAATGACATATCCAGGGTCTATAATTAGCAACTGAACACTTGAAATTCTTTTGTGTGACAGAATGAGGGGGACACATCTCTTATGACATGGCTTGGGTGTCTAGATGTAGTTAAGTTGCAGACTCCGTCTGAAGGCAAGACTATCTATAACTTTCAAACAATCACTGGCACTGTGCATCTGACCTATCTCTACAGTCATTTTTTCTTTCTGCCAACTTCTCATAACAAGACCGAGGCCTTACTGTAACACTGCAAGGATGTACTTTTTAGCTCATTAATCAACAACTGACGGGATGAGTACAATGATGGTTCAAGTTACATTCCTTAAAATTGCTGTGGGGGGGGGGGACAAATTAATTAAGGTTCAAAAATAACTACTTCATTCTCAACGTTATCGGCCAACAGGCATATTGATTCATCGGCAAAATTTGTATACCCCTAGCAGCAAATGGAGCAGAGCCACGGAACTGGTCAACAAAGTAAAAATCCTCCCTGTATTTAACTACATATAATTAATATTTTTTCTTGATGATTGAATGTTGTGGGAAAGATTTTTTGTGTGTGAATTATAGTGCCCTGAGTAATGTTCAATGTACTTTTGAAAGGAATTAATGTGATCTCTCAGCAACAGTTTTGTATTTCTGGTGTTGGCATTCTCATTTTGCATCCTCTTTTGTTATATTCTGTAACAGCAGTTTTCTTAGCTCTGTCGCTTGCTCTTTTGGATCTCCCAGTTAAGCATTCTTCTTCCATACAGACGAATGATTTTTGTAATTTCATTTTTTCTAGGTCTTGATGGTTCACATTTCTGTTAGTTCTCTACCTTATTAAGATTACACATAATATATCAAATTAAAACTTAACATTTTGAAACATGTATCGGTTTCTTCCTTAGGCCCTTAATTGTGTGAGCACATTGTTTTAATAATAAAAGGTTTCAAGCACTGTTGACCCCTTGGCAATGTTAGGCATCTGAAAGCAGTCTGTGTGGACAGAGGATATTTATGTAGTAAATACGCTCATCCAAAATGTCCAACTTTTACTAAAATTGCTGTAAAAGCAGAGAAAACTGGAATTTGAAAGCAAAAAAATAACCTTATATTCAGAAAATAATGTAGATTTATTTTATATGATAAATATTGAAAGAGATGCCTCTAAATACTACTGCAAGGAACTCTGAGGTGACACCATGACACATACAGACTTACAAAAGACTTGAGAGCTGTTGCTCCAAGCCGAGACATGATTGACTTTCAAAAGCCTAAGAATTCTGCTTACAAAGACAAAGAACTATTCATACTGAAATCTGAANGCAAGTTTATTAAAATGGTTTGATTATTTTAGAAATTAAGTTTTGTGTGATAGGCTTTAAAACATTCCTCCAGACAGAGCCCGACATGACACTGTGGATGAAAAAACCTTGTATCTTTCCTCCATCCATGTTTGGTGCATACCCTGCACCTCCTCTGTGGTGTTGATTTTTTTCTAGTAGGTGGAATTTTGTGGATGAAATGTCTTTCCCTCAATCACTGAATGAAATTGTATGCTGCGTGGCAACTAATCTGTGTTCAGTATCGGNTAATATTAATACTAATACTAAATAGTAATAAGAATATAATAATACAGAAATAGTATGCCAAATTATAATAAATGATAATAATAATAATAATAATATAGTAATACAGAGATAATAATATGACAGTATAATTAGTCTTGAAAACAGTTTCTATGGTCTTAAATCCTCCATATGTCCTATTGTACCTTTACTGGTGGTAATGCCTATGGAGATTTGATGGAATGAGGATCCCATCATACTCCCATCATACAAATGCTTGGATTTCTGGCAAGTATTATAAGTCTTAAAGCAGAGGTGTCAGAACCTTTTAGTATAAGACCTGTGAGTTAGATATTAAACATTTTTGACATTTATGCAATTGTCATTTTCTCTTTGGGGCACCCGGTAGTGTAGTTGGTTGAGGCACTACGCAACAAGCTGGAAGGTCAGGGGTTTGATTCCTGATGAGGTCATTGCATTTTTTAACAGACCTAATCCTTGCAGACGCACTACACCCCTGCGATTGACTCATTATATAAATATAGACTACAAGCTCAATATATATTGTCGATTTCCCTGTTTGTTATAGTAAATAAGGAATTATTCACATTCAACTCACAAATGCATAATTGTAGTACCAGATCTATCTGATCTGCATTATCCACAAACTAGTCTAACACAATTCCAAAATNGAATTTGAAAGCAAAAAAATAACCTTATATTCAGAAAATAATGTAGATTTAGATTATATATATACAGCACAGGGATATTTTAGTTTTTCTGTCTCAAGAACACAAATTATATTGTGAAAAACAGCGTAAATTCTAGAAATACAGAATTCAAAACTGAAAAATGAACAGTGTGCTCTGTATGAAATACAACTTTGGCTTTAAGTATTCCAATTTTAATTAATCATGCAAGTTTATTAAAATGGTTTGATTACCTTAGAAATTAAGTTTTGTGTGATAGGCTTTAAAACATTCCTCCAGACAGAGCCCGACATGACACTGTGGATGAAAAAACCTTGTATCTTTCCTCCATCCATGTTTGGTGCATACCCTGCACCTCCTCTGTGGTGTTGATTTTTTTCTAGTAGGTGGAATTTTGTGGATGAAATGTCTTTCCCTCAATCACTGAATGAAATTGTATGCTGCGTGGCAACTAATCTGTGTTCAGTATCGGCAAACTGTTTCAAAAGTGCCTCCACCAAGTTGACCCTGAATGCCAGCTGATCAATTTGCTTTCCAGTGTTATGCCAATAAATTATCATTGCATTCAACACTGTGGTATTCATAAGTCTTCTGTACAATTCCATGTACCATTTGTGCACACGCTTCTCTTCTACAAGGTACATCTGCAACAGCTGGTCCTTCAAGTCAAGGCCAGGCATCCACTTATTATAATCAATTACACAGACAGGTTTTTATGTCATTTTTCATTTCAGCCTCGTGATAAGTAGAAATCACTAAAACATTCCATTTATCACACCATTTCATCACAGTCACTGGCCCAGAGGGCTGGGAAAAATTTCTCCCTTCTTTAGTTTTGCATCTTTGAGTGCCTTGGGTACATCCTTTCTGTTTATTTTTAGAGTTCCAACACAATCAGTGCCCTTGTTCTTCAGCAGTCTGCCCAGAGCTGGGGAGTTGTAGAAATTATCCAGCCAGATTGTATGGCCTCTTTCCAGTAATGGTTCCATCAAATGAAGAACAGTGTGCATTGTTTTGTTCATCTCCTGTGTTACAAGAGATGACTGAAAATATGTATTTTTACCTGTGTATACTACAAGAGACCATAAATATCCAGAACTTGATTTGCATAATTCACAAGTCTTTATGCCAAAATTATCAGTTTTCAGTGGTAAATACTGTCTGAAAGACAAGCATCCCTCCCATAATGTAAGAGATTCGTCAACTGAAATGTTCTGCCTGGGAAGGAATAAGTTTTGAAATTTGTAGTTCAGGTGCGATAGGACAGGAAATATTTTGTATAGTTCTGCAGGGCCTGCATAATTTGCTGTGTTATTGTTGTCTGCAAAACGTAAGAATTTATAACCTCTTGATATCACATCACCAAATTCTGGAGCTGACACAATTCTCTTTCTTCAAAAATATGTCTGAAGAGCAAGTGTTTGAATGATCTTCATTGGCATATACAAACCAAGCAAAATATAAATTTCATTTTCTGTTACTGGTGTCCATTGCCTTAGAAGGGATCCAAAAGTAAAAAGTTTCCCTCTAGAATTCATAAATTGTTCTGCATAATGATTCATTTCTACAACAATTTTATGAACTATGTCTCTACTGAAAAATAATAAAAACACAGACAAAATATCTTGCACATTTACTGCTCAGTTCTGACGCCCACGACCAAAAAATAATTCACGTTGTCCATGTCATATCAAATAAAGCCACTGTTATAGTCAGTGTCGCCAAGAGAATGTTCTTCAACATCACTATCCTCTTCATCGACAGCAGCACCAGCAACTGCAACGTCATCTTCACAGTTATCACTATCATCGCTGCTGTCACTAATAAAGACACTCATCTGACTCATTTAGAATGTCCAAAACATTCTCTTCAGTCAGATGTTTACTCATAGATGTCATACTTGCAATATGGGATTTAAAACTTAAATGTGTGTCATAATTACTTTCTGCATATTGCAGAGGCAAACACTGCTACTAAAGATCTTGATAAATATTGAAAGAGATGCCTCTAAATACTACTGCAAGGAACTCTGAGGTGACACCATGACACATACAGACTTACAAAAGACTTGAGAGCTGTTGCTCCAAGCCGAGACATGATTGACTTTCAAAAGCCTAAGAATTCTGCTTACAAAGACAAAGAACTATTCATACTGAAATCTGAAGCTCTGTGTTTTGTCTACAAGCAGTAACAGTTGCCACCACAAGATGTGTACTCATGTACAAAGGAACAATGAACACATAACTGATAGCAGCAGGAGTAGCAGTTTGAAAATATATTCAATTCAATTCAATTTTATTTCATCCATGAATCATTATACATGATATGGGACAAGTCAAAGATTAATATCAATACTAATACTAAATAGTAATAAGAATATAATAATACAGAAATAGTATGCCAAATTATAATAAATGATAATAATAATAATAATAATAATAATATAGTAATACAGAGATAATAATATGACAGTATAATTAGTCTTGAAAACAGTTTCTATGGTCTTAAATCCTCCATATGTCCTATTGTACCTTTACTGGTGGTAATGCCTATGGAGATTTGATGGAATGAGGATCCCATCATACTCCCATCATACAAATGCTTGGATTTCTGGCAAGTATTATAAGTCTTAAAGCAGAGGTGTCAGAACCTTTTAGTATAAGACCTGTGAGTTAGATATTAAACATTTTTGACATTTATGCAATTGTCATTTTCTCTTTGGGGCACCCGGTAGTGTAGTTGGTTGAGGCACTACGCAACAAGCTGGAAGGTCAGGGGTTTGATTCCTGATGAGGTCATTGCATTTTTTAACAGACCTAATCCTTGCAGACGCACTACACCCCTGCGATTGACTCATTATATAAATATAGACTACAAGCTCAATATATATTGTCGATTTCCCTGTTTGTTATAGTAAATAAGGAATTATTCACATTCAACTCACAAATGCATAATTGTAGTACCAGATCTATCTGATCTGCATTATGCGCAAACTAATCTAACACAATTCCAAAATGGAATATGTTACATGGGGGTAAAGATCTTTAATCATTTGCCACCAAAAATCAAATCTATGTCTAATGACTTGAAAAATTTTAAAATTCAGTTGACAACATTTTTATTGCAAAACTCTTTTTATACATGTGATGAATTCTTTAGTAACAAATTTGCTTAGAAATAAGGATAATAACATAAACAATTTTAATATTACATAATTTTATGTATAGTGATGTAAGACTGTAAATTTAACACATGTTTTTTATCTATTATAATGATTATAAGCTGTACATATATATCTATAATTGCATTGTACTATATTAACTATGTGACTGGTTCTATATCTATGTATATGGATTTATGGAATATATAATAAATGAATGAATGAATAAATAGACTAATGCTTCAAATAAGTATATATATATATATATATATATATATATATAGCTAGAACGAAGCTTCACCTACAATAGCACGTCATTAGTTTCTGAGTAAACAGCAGAGACATGCTTATAAGTTTCATACAGACGCTGAGTAAGTCATTATCTCTTACTGATGTCGGCGACATACGGCAGACAAGTACTTACTAAGAGATACTGCGGTCGGTATCAACCATAGAAGTTGTAAAGTGATACATAACAAATATGTGGTACATACTCGCAAGTACTAAACCAGCCTCTACAGTCCAGTACCAAACAGATATTCACGAAAGCATCATCCAGATATGTTCCAAGGAAACTATATGTCACATTCTCTAGCGGTAACACGAACAAGCAAACTTTTGTAAGTTCCGTATATTCTTCATCCAGAAACCGCCCATATAACAGCTGATTGTTTTACAAATATGTCTGCTGGTATGATATACTTCGACTTTGGATCTTCATACTTCAGTCTTGAACTGAGATGGGGGTCAATCGAGACCTATGGGACTTCGATACCAAAGCCGACTGACCTTCGGGTCTTAATTATTATAAGATTTAAATGTAAATAGAATGATTTTCTCCACTGTACATTCCCATGTGTGTGTTATTTAACTTATTTTTTCAACTGGTGGCGTTGCGAGCATAGACAATATGTGTTTTCAAAAATTAGTAAAACATCGAGAAGGTGTTTAAAATCTAACTTCCGAGTGCCCCATGAAACTTTTGTCTGGTAATATAGGCGCGTGTATATTCTTCTCAAATAGTTTGTGGTTATTGATGGTTATTAGTGAAAGTGTTTGTTATTTTGAGTGAAAGTGAATTTTGAAGTAGTGTAAATAGTGAAGTGCCAATGATAAAACTATAGACAATTGAGTCAGTGCCTTAAAANGTTCTGCCTGGGAAGGAATAAGTTTTGAAATTTGTAGTTCAGGTGCGATAGGACAGGAAATATTTTGTATAGTTCTGCAGGGCCTGCATAATTTGCTGTTATTGTTGTCTGCAAAACGTAAGAATTTATAACCTCTTGATATCACATCACCAAATTCTGGAGCTGACACAATTCTCTTTCTTCAAAAATATGTCTGAAGAGCAAGTGTTTGAATGATCTTCATTGGCATATACAAACCAAGCAAAATATAAATTTCATTTTCTGTTACTGGTGTCCATTGCCTTAGAAGGGATCCAAAAGTAAAAAGTTTCCCTCTAGAATTCATAAATTGTTCTGCATAATGATTCATTTCTACAACAATTTTATGAACTATGTCTCTACTGAAAAATAATAAAAACACAGACAAAATATCTTGCACATTTACTGCTCAGTTCTGACGCCCACGACCAAAAAATAATTCACGTTGTCCATGTCATATCAAATAAAGCCACTGTTATAGTCAGTGTCGCCAAGAGAATGTTCTTCAACATCACTATCCTCTTCATCGACAGCAGCACCAGCAACTGCAACGTCATCTTCACAGTTATCACTATCATCGCTGCTGTCACTAATAAAGACACTCATCTGACTCATTTAGAATGTCCAAAACATTCTCTTCAGTCAGATGTTTACTCATAGATGTCATACTTGCAATATGGGATTTAAAACTTAAATGTGTGTCATAATTACTTTCTGCATATTGCAGAGGCAAACACTGCTACTAAAGATCTTGATAAATATTGAAAGAGATGCCTCTAAATACTACTGCAAGGAACTCTGAGGTGACACCATGACACATACAGACTTACAAAAGACTTGAGAGCTGTTGCTCCAAGCCGAGACATGATTGACTTTCAAAAGCCTAAGAATTCTGCTTACAAAGACAAAGAACTATTCATACTGAAATCTGAAGCTCTGTGTTTTGTCTACAAGCAGTAACAGTTGCCACCACAAGATGTGTACTCATGTACAAAGGAACAATGAACACATAACTGATAGCAGCAGGAGTAGCAGTTTGAAAATATATTCAATTCAATTCAATTTTATTTCATCCATGAATCATTATACATGATATGGGACAAGTCAAAGATTAATATCAATACTAATACTAAATAGTAATAAGAATATAATAATACAGAAATAGTATGCCAAATTATAATAAATGATAATAATAATAATAATAATAATAATATAGTAATACAGAGATAATAATATGACAGTATAATTAGTCTTGAAAACAGTTTCTATGGTCTTAAATCCTCCATATGTCCTATTGTACCTTTACTGGTGGTAATGCCTATGGAGATTTGATGGAATGAGGATCCCATCATACTCCCAT